TTTTTTTATGTTTGCTCACGTAGAATGGAGGCTGCATTGCGGGTCTCTCAAAATAGCTCTCTAGGTTCCCTGAATTAATGATGGTCTTAAAACTATTACACGCTTAAAAATTTTGAAACATGCGGACGAGATCAAGATTTTTTTTTATCATTGAAAACCAATGAATCGATCGCTATTCTACAGCGTGATTTACATCAGCTAAATAATTGGGCCGGCCTAAAGCCGAAGTCAGCGAATGCTGGAAACTAGATCACTCAAGAAGTTCTGTGATAATGTCGAATCACTCTGCTGACAATAGTAAACTTGTAAAAGTTGAATCGTTTCTCGATATAGGGATTTTACTAGATTCAAAACTTTGTATTAAAAAATCGAATGCGTCGTTAAGTTTCGTGGTAAGATAGACGAAATAGGCTGGTAATTCATATATTTATAAGTAGCAGCAGTCTAGTTCCTTCCACACCGCGAATATGGTGTCGTATGGTATCTTACTACCATAAGGTACCTATCGTGCCTATAGAATATCTACAAAACCAATTCCTTTTCTTTGTTTTATGGAATTTAAATAGGGATACACCCGTTGCCGGTGCCTGCTTTATATAAATTGTTTAAAACTCATAAATCTGCCTAGTGGAGAAATCGGAAGATATTTGCTAGGAACTACATTCGTGGGTAACCTCTCGGACTATTCGATACACTAATAAGCTTTGTTAGAAGAAGTTACACCATGTCAAAGACATAATTAGAAACCAATCTTATTGTGTCATTGTAAGATTAATGATGAGTCATTAAATCCGCTCCGACCTGTCTGTAAAGCAGCTGTCAAAATTTCTATTCTTCTATTATCCTATACTAAATACACAATTATATGTGCCTCTGCGAGTATTGCTTTATATGTACAATTAATAACTAACCATAAGTTATCGTTGCCTTGTAACATATTAATGAATAAATAAATTATTAATAAATATAAACATACATACATATATTTATGTGCATTTCGGCTTAAGAGGCTTTACGCCTAAAAGTATCTTAAGCTATTAATATTTACTGTTGAAAACTTTGTAAAATTTCTCCAATGATTTATCTAAGCGATAATATATTTTTTACATAGCTTGCACCCTAATCGAGCTTTGTTGCCAACTTTTATATTAATATCTTTAGTAGCTTGTTCGCTTTTGTCAAAAAAATGTAATATTTCGATTACTTTAACATGATGACGTCAGGGTGTTTTTCTGAGCTTCGAAGATAGTTAGAAGTTAAGGGATATGAGTTGAATTTCTATTGAAAAGGCTTCGAAGAACTGTTTTTAAAGTCGAAATTTTCAGCGATAAAATAGCTAAAAGATTTCGCCAATTTACCCAAAATAAATTCAATATACATAATTTTATGAAAAACTTATTTAAGGCGTAAAGCAAGGGATAAGTGTATTACTATCTTTATTCTCTCATCTCTAATATACTTTCTGTTGTTAGAAAGATTAGCAAGATGTGTGTATATATATATATATGTGCATACTTGTAGGAAAATGAAGGCCGCCGTACAACAGGATATGAATGACTATCAGGCTTATCGTCAGAAGGATAATGTCTAACATGTGCTTGAATACTCTCTTGTATAAGTTGTACATACTTTTTGTGCTTTTAATAGAAAATCAAAATATGTACACAAGTACCACTTAGATAACTTAGTTTGTTTGTATTTATTTTATGTCACGATTCAAATTTCGAAGGAACTAAACGATATGCTTTAGAAAATATTATAGATGAAAACATGATTCAATGTATAAATGTAAAGAACGTTTTTTCAATGAATACATTGTAAAGAGTTTTTGATAACTGGCCAATGTCAATATAATGATTTTCTTAACATAAGACATAACATCAACTATCTGACATTTATAACAGAAATTTAGGGTTAGATAAAGGGGTACACATATAGCCGGACATTTGGTATATATATATATATTCGAGGCTAGTAAAAGTTTTAAGATTTGAAAGCTTTTTTTTTTTCATTCACATATTTAAAAAATTTTTGAAGGACAAAACAAAATATCGCAACCAAAACTTTCCAAAATCTTTACTTATATGTTTGTTAAAGCAATACATTAATTTTTTATACAAAAGCAATGTGGAACTCTCAACTTAACTTTTCCTCATAATTTTTTTTTTTAAATTTCTCTCATGACTTCTGTTTATGACCGAGAGGAACGATCTAATTGAAACGAAATTCAACGAAATTCAGCGCTCACTGACTTGTTTTTTTTTTTTTTTTTTTTATATATAAAGGCCTTAACAAATGCTGAGAGGTAGTATTTCATATATTGTAATGTGACAGTGTACCTTAGGTTAAAGGAAAAGGAGTGTTTTTATCGTCGTTAACTTCAGTTGCGCTCAGCATCTTTGTCATTATTGTGAATAATGGATCTGTTCATCATAAAACTAAACGTTATTAAATCAATGCAGTTCTCTTAAATACGCACGGTTTCGTATGGAATCGCACCTGCACCAGTTTTAGCAATATGTTGCTTAACCTAACTAGCGGAACTATGCAGTAAGAGCATGACTATAGTGTCACAAATTATTATTAATAGGGATTTTTTTGTAGATGCAGATAGCCTGGATGAATTAAAAATCATTATACAATAGTTGTGTATTATATGAGAGTTAGCTGGATTCCAATTGCCAGACGGGTTCTGCAACCACTACCTAAAAGAAATCAAAAAAATTGCAAAAGTTCTTATACTTGATGGCAATCATTCGCGTAAGATTCTGGGAATTAATTTGATTCCTTCAGCGGATGTGTTTCAGTTTCGCTTTTTAGGACGGTTTTGTTAATATTGTTGCTACTATAGAGAAACATATTATCAAATGTTGCGAAACTGTTCGACCAACTAGGACCTATAATTAAAATTTTGATATAACAGCTGCGATTACTTAAGCTAAATTGGACCGAATCAGTTTGTTAAATTACCGCAAAACGAATGGTATCACTTAAAAAACAATTTACGAAGATACACCAATCTACTATGAACAGCCTGTTACGACATGCACGGCGCCGCAAGTACGTCAGAGAAAGTATATTATCGCTGTATGTATGTACGAAATTATGATGATGAAAAATTCCATTTTCGACTTTTAAGAATGAAGTTACGAGTTGGGTATGGTATTTAAAGAAAGAATCGCGTTGTGCGCTACATGCCTAATAACAAAATTATGGATTCAAGGATGGCCATTAATTAATTAATTAATTAATTAATTCAACTTATGCTAATTTCAACTTAACTTTAAACTTAGGCTTCTAATAAGCTTAACCCATAATATTTCACTTCAGTCAACTTTTGGGAAAGTTATCATCTGAGCGATCAGAGGCATTCAGCTCCTTCTCAATAGTTGGTGTTTGTTTATGTGGTCACATATATTGTGCCTCCTGTTAAATGTTATTGATCACCTTCGCTTTGTTCTTGCTTTTAAGGCCGTTCATTTCGGAATAGTTTCGGATATAACAACTTATCCTTTCACCCGTACCCTTAGAAGATTCGTCGTGAAGTCGGAGAGTTCTGAATGGCGTTTTTTTGCGACAACACGCAAATTTTCTCGGAGCCAATGGCGAACTTCAAGGTCTAAGGGGAAAATGTTTTCAGGAGAGTCATCAAAAGGGCGCTTACAGGGCAGAAACCGAATTCAACTTATGTGTCATCCCAATTATTTTGAAGCACTGTAGGAGGCGGGATTGAAGTCCATCAAACTTTACCCAGAGAGAACTTTAGGCGGGCTTCTACCAAGCGCCGTGGAAGAGCTGGAAGCCGCTTTAATGGAAGTAGGACCTCTTGTGACTTCTAGGCATATTACTCCAATGAGTCAAGATCCAAATGGCGACAACGCACTAGTGCCTCCACCCATCAAATAATAGGACAAATATTCGGTACGCTACCACGGGAATTACCCATCATAGCGGCAGAGAAGAAAATTCCTTTCTTACACAGTTAGCGGCGCCTACGCACGCAAACATGATTTTTTGTTTATTACTCGTAAAGTCCAAAATATATAATTGTAAAAAACTTCCACGTAAGTTCTGTAGACGGTTGAAAATTGGAAGAAAGGAAAAGATTCGGATGTGTTTTCCGGTCCGAATATCATTTTCTTACTTGTTTATACAGTTAAACCTGTTTTTGTGCGATTTGTTTGCTGCGAATTTTTTTGTGCGGTCTATGAATATGTAGATATGGATAATATCTCTACATATTAATTATAATATTACAATTTTTTTTTTTAATGTTTCCATATATTATTGATTGTTTATTTTGCTTGGGAAATATTTCCTCGCTACTTGATTAGACTTTGATACATTTTCCAAAAGAGAAATTTTGTTTGCGGTGACTCTCTGCGCCGCATAAAATAAATTTTCTTCAATATGTTGTGAAAAATTGTTTTTGTTGCATTTTTTTTCTTTTCATGCGGTCTATGTGCACCGCACGAAAACGGGTTTACCTCTATTAAAGAAATGAAGTGCTTGAATTACCAACAATAATAGTATGACGAATACGGCTAAACTTATTTGTAATGTTAAGGCTGATCAAAAATATACAAATGTACGCATACTAAAGCGTTTCCATTGCTTGTTTCCTTATTTATTGACACCTCAATCTTACGGTTTTACGGCTTTATTCGCAATTTAACGGCAATCGCCCGTTACTTACAATTGCTTTGCAGTGTGTTTCATAATAATAATATAATTCTAAGAACGTGGATGGGTGAAGATTATTGAATGTATTAATTCTACGGCATATATGTGAATTCCTTACTTAATTTAATAATTTAATATAAATTATAAACATTTTCACGGAATTTGCAAATATAATCATTGAAATGCTTAGCGCCTTCAACTACTTCACACTTAGAATAGCAAAAGTGATAATAAATCAAAAATATATCTTTCGAACCATTCGTCGCATCTGTTTTATTCAAGCTTATTGCAGACGTTTTTCTACATTAAAAAGGTGCTCCTGCCTTGCAAAAATGCTTACCCTAATTAAAATGATTTCAATATTTTTAATTTCAAGGCTTCAGCACATAATGAAAATAATTTTTAGTTTTTCTTACAGTCGAGAAAATGGTAAAGTTAGCCATTGTAATCAAAGACAATGAAGCAAATTTTTCTTAGTAGAACATTTTTCTTTTTTTATTTGATTTTACAGTAACATAATGGTTGGAGCGATGTCTTACTTTGGTAACATACATAAGAGCTGAAGCGTTAATAATGCGGAGAAGAATTGTGATTAGTGCTGATTAGAAGTTTTTCAATGTACACACTCAACAATTATAATATTATTATTTTTTAATGCGAAAAATATAAGAAAATCGTGCAAAAGAAAAGTTCATTAGTTTAACTTATGAATTTCAGTGTTAAAGTGCTATTAAGTCAAATGCTTAGGTATTTTTTTTGTTTTTTGTGCCGCGCCTATTTACCCACCATAAATATATAGAATAATAACGATGCGCGAATGGCGTTAGCTTTATATATAAATATGAAAGCATTTGCAACAAATGCTTGGCGACAGCAAAAGTTTTTCCTCTCATCCTTTCGCTATGGTTTTACGATTATTTGAAAAAATGAAAAATCCATTAAAAGGGTAATTGGCCTTTTTCGTTTCTGTAGCACATCGACAATGTGAATATTGTAATGCACACGTGCGGGAGATGTTAAGATTGTGTTATTGCTGCTGTTAATGCGGCCGTGTTCATGTGAATGAGAGGGTACCGCTTTTTGAGTGTTTTAAAGTTAGTCTTTAGTCTATCGTAGAGTAACGTTTAAGTTTCAACTTCTCTTTTGTTCCCTTTTTGTTTTTTTGTTTTTCATAAAAAACATTTTAAAAGGCTCACGACCGCGCATACATCTCTCCAATTACGTACTACACTGTGCAACACTTCAATTGATTTACCGATAAGCTACCGGTCAGTATGAGTAGATTCAAACCGTGCATGGCCAATACTTACTTGCGGTGTGTTTTCATTTTATTTATTTGCCTTTTATTATTTTTATTCTCATCATCGAATTACTTTTACATATAGGCATATTCGTTTCGTCAAAACGCTTGCAACATCCAGACGGACGTTTCAGAGACCCCATTATGATCTATATCAAATTCTGAATTGACTTGGGCATGTTTGTGAGTTCATACCTATGAAGCGATCAGCTTCGAATTAAGCGAAAACCATAAGAACTTCTTGCAGGCAGATCGGTATTGAAAACTAGACAAATCGGCCGAACGACAAGTCTACAGTGTAAAATAAATGAAAAACATGTCCGCTTTTTGCTTTTTTTCCTTATTACTTATAAGCAACAATTAATACAACGTAAAAATTTCCACATACCTATATGTGAATGCTACAAAAATAAAAAAGTCAATCATGTCTATCCATCCAATGTTGTGCTATATGAAAATATAATTTTAAGCTTTTTTTTAGGAAATAAAATGATGGGTGTATGTATGTATGTATGTATCATAACCGAATATGATTTCTGTTCTTGTTTAAGATTGTTTTTGTTTAATTTAAGTGTTGCGGTTAAGTTCTGTTGGAGTAAGTGAAAGTAGAATTATTGAACATTTAACGAAAAACTTACGCTCATCGTGCTGACTTTGAAACAAAGTTCGTTGCATATAAAATGAATCATGCCTATTGTCAGCGATGATGCAAGGTTGGTGATGACATATTTGTACCGTTACGTTATGACATTACTTTGATATCGAAAGAATGCTGTGTTAATTTGCGATCCTCACATTTTATTATTGCTTTTTGCGTATTTTAATGCGAGCGCGAACAAAATTATAATGAGAAACTTTTATAATCCTTTTAAAGTTTAAATGTTTGTGTGTTAGCAAAGTGCCATCAGGATTAATTTGAAAACTCAATTATTGCAATTATTTGCATTAATTTTAAAGAAAGATTTAAGTTGTATGAGAGGCGTCGATGCTTTCATGCATACATGTTTGTAATCGTTGATCGATGGATTATATAGAAATTATATATTTTTCTGCGATATAAATAGTTAATTAAAAATTGGCGTGACGTGGCAATTATGTGCCCGATGCAGAGAATATATTGCATCTCAAAGGAATTCATTTATAATTACATGCGCATAACTAATACAATAGATTAAATAATAGAATGCAAGAAGCTCAAGTCGACTCAAAGAATCTTTATAAAATCTTGGCGTGAATTGTGTGTCATGTTAATATATTTAACATGAATTTGATTAATCGAACGACTTAAATTAAAAGAGATCTATTCTCGAACTTGAACTAAACGATTGATTTTTTTTTTTTTTTTGCCTTAAAACGGGATAGCTCAGCTAATAAATTGCGAGCGTTCCGTTTAACTTATTTAGCATTTGATAAGCTGCAGCGAGCACGGGTACCTATGGACAGTGTGACTTTTCCATTTAAATTGAGTCGTCATTTTTTTCTAGACTGACGCAATCCTAACTTTTATATCTGCGTATTAAACTTCGCGTCAATATCTTGAACAACTAATGAGGTAAGCTTGCTTGCTTTCATTTTTCATTCGACTTGATCGACGGAGTTAAAATTAATGCCCGCAAACGGTTTTTTGAGTAAGAAAAATTTTTCAGAAACAACGCAGTGTGAGAAGGTGCATAAGTGTTGTTCCAAAATCAATAATTTTGGTAAATTACTTCACGCGAACGACATTTCGCGCTTAAATAATATTCTTTGTTAATATTTTGAGCCGAGGAAAGGAATTCATAATGCATTACAGCACGATATTCGAAAAAAACTTATTGCTCACTTTTTAATCATAGTAGTACAAGAACTCGAAAATCTTACGCTCAAAAAAATATTACAAAATGTACTTGCTTGTGCTTCGAAGCGGAAAGGCTTTTTAAGGCTTTACATGGTGCAAAAAGACACTTGGTAATACCATAGTAAGGCTTTGCTATATTGTTATTTCGCTAATTTTGCAGATTATAATCATTCATTTATAGTATTCGTCTTTTAAAGTAAACCGATGTTTGTTCTCGATCCTCGAATAATAAGTGGTTCTCGATTTGTTGCCCTATTTCTAGCATCCGGATATATGCATGAAATATTCCGCATAATATATATATTGTCGATCAGTCTAAGATGGCCAGTGTGTGTGTTAATTGTCCACGTCCATTCCTCCGTATCTATTAAACGCATCAATGGTAAATAAATAGGAATTTTCTGATAATGATCATGCATTAAGTCATCGATCCGACAAACTACAATTATGGGTATCAGATAAAGTCGTGAAATATCGAACGATCATTGAACGAATAAATAATAAAATGCTGTGCAGTGTAAGATGACTATTTTTTGCATTATGTCTAACATAATAAGTAAATTAATTTTGAAATATTCATCTAAATCGAATACAGTATTTTTTCGCTTATATTTGCAATCAGATATGCCTCCATGTCATGATGTTAGAAAATCCCCAGGGCTGGTATGATTGATCGTTCGTAAGGTGTGAAAGCGATTTCGGGAAGAAGAGCAGTTATATAATGGAAACAGCAATCAACCATAATGACTTTAATATTTCCCATTTAATCTCACGCTTGTTCGTCTGTCCGTAATGAGTAAATAAATGAAAGAAATATTACAATAGTGAGAGTACAGTTATTACGAAGTAAGGCAACTAATAGTTAAATATTTTGCTATATCCAATAGTAAGTGAAGAAGAAGAGTCTTGAAAGACGTTGAAAGCCGCCATTACGAACAATAGACAATAAGATGTTATTGAACACGCTTTAAGAAAGGCAAGGGAAAGTTGTTTTTTTTTTTTTTGAAGAATTCCCTTAATCGTGACTTCGATAAATGCGATATTTTGTTATCGAAAAATAATTTGCTTTAAAAAAACGGAAAATATTCCATCACAAAAATAACGGGCATAACATACTAGGCATACTTTGTTTTGGAAATACATAAATATATGTAATTCTTATATAGGCGTACTTGCGTATGTTTTGTACGTAAGAAAATCACGCAAAGGTAATAGATTGTTGGAAAGAAAGGAATTTCACTTTCATTCAAGAAAATAGAAAAACGAAGAAAAGTGATTTCACACTTTCTCACTTTCGCTCTCCGTGTGCTAACATTCTTATTCTCACCGCTAGGCATAACTAACTCTCTTTGCTATATATATTCAATACCGCTACAAGTGCATTGTAGCTAAGTCACAATTAGTTTCGTTTTTTTTTTTTTTTTTTTTTTTTTCTTTTGCATTTGCTAATGTTTTGTTTTTATTGTTCCTTTAATATAATTATTGTTTTTGTTGTTACTGCGGCTAGCTATTTGGGTCATATATTTAAATTTTTTTTATTGATTTCGCATGCGAAAACAAAATTTTAGTTCAACGCTACTAATGCACAAAATTCAATCTGAAATTCAGGAAATTTTATATTTGACAAAAAAATTCTTGTATCACGAATTAGCGAACTGTAAATTCAACTTATTTGGTTACATATTAATGTAACGTACGTGCGTACTTATTTGAAACTTACCTTGAAAGCTTTGAAAGAGGAGACCACATATGAGGCGCCGTCCTCTAATTCATCTAAATGATATTTACGATCGCCATCCATAGAGAAAACGTAGCGGGCACCGCGTGGCAAATCCATTTTTGGAGAGATTTTATCAAGAAGATTATCAAGCGAAGTTATGTCGCGGCCAGGACGGTAGCGCAATTCAACGCCGGGAAAGAATGGGTCACCATTGCGATAGAATACCACACGACGAGCTTTCCAATACGAGAGATTCGAATAACGACTGGCCGCACTCATAACACTGTTCATGTGAGCATTTGATGACAGTTCAGGACGTGATTTGGAACGCACAAGAGGCTGGACCGGTGGTTGTTCGGAATTCTCACTCATATTGTCTTGATAAACTGGGGTATTAATGTCTGTTCGACTCTGGCGACCCGAATTTGGTAAACCAATCTTACGCTGCGACCAATAGTCATTAGTAGCTCCTGTAGCTCGGCTTATATCATAGTCATCTTCGTTGTCACTGGCCGGCGGATAATTTCTATTGCGTAAATCTGTCAACAATTTTACTGGACTGGAATGGTTACTAGTATCGGCTTGTGTGTGTTTTAGCAAATTCTGTTTACAATTGTTGTTGTTGTTGTTGTTGTTGTGATTATTGTTACTATTGTGGTTATCGTTGCTGTTGTTATTGCTATTCGCTTTTTTATATTCTGATTGTATTTGTTGTTGCTGATGATGTTGTGGCTCCCCATATGGTTGTGTTGGCGACGTATTTGGCGAAACGTCTCGTTCGAGTTGTGCGGTCGTACTAAGTTGTGGCGTTGCTCTGCCGCCATCCATAACTGATGGCTCGTTAGTTGAACCATTTAACGCGTTTTCGTGCTCTTCTTGATTGGACATGACTTGAATGAATGAAATCAATGACGTCGCGTATATTGTAACAAAAAGTACTACGAAGAAAAGCACACAAGCGAAAAAAAAGACTTGAAGGAGGAAAACTAAAAATCAAATCTAAAGAAAGCCTTCGTTTACGCTGCTCTGCACAATGTTTGTTGAAAACAACAGTTTTTCTTTTTTTTTTTTTTTTTTTTTTTTTCTTAAAACTCTTTTCTTTTTTTTTTTTACTGTTGTATAAAAGGCGCGTTGGTCGCTTATTATTTTTTTCCCTGCTGTTATACTTGAGTTTTGTTTAATTTGATTTTTAGGATACGCTGCGGTCTAACTTTCCATTACATGAGTCAAAGCTGTTTTCGGCGAATATGGGAGACCGTAGATAAATTACTTTCAATTATTACTTTTTAGGTGTAACTGCTTGTCGTGACATGTTTTTGGATTAGTTATTTTAAGAACTTGATTTCTTTTCAATCGTTTCGAACTCAATTTGATAAATTTCTTTGTCTCTTAATCGACCTTGACCCTGTGATAAGTAAAATATTTGCATAATACATTTTATTCGAATTAGTCAGCGAACTATTTCTAAAAACCGCAATTACATTATGTATAAGAAAAATTTCGAGGGCATTTAGAGATTGTTTCCCAATGCCGTGCCATGTGCTATTTGTTACATAATGTTTTCTAACAATTTTAATCTGACTTCTTAGAACTAATCTACAAGACTCCTTAGAAAGTTGATCATTTCCCAATTCGCCTATACTTAAGGAAACTCTTTCTAAATATTGCTCGACCCCGTGGATTAAATCAGCCTTATTATCGACCAGTATATGATGCTGTATTATGGTTATTAGGGAAAACGAACGCAAGTCGACAGTGTGGAATTGTAGCTGATGGTGCGATGGATCGCGGACTAAACAATAGATTAACTTATTATTGGAGATTAAAGTTATAACCTAATAAACATTTTCAAGGATCATTAAAAAATATAAATAATGAAAAACAATTAAAAATATTGCAAACAAAGTAATTTTCCATTTAATTTGCATTGCGTCAATGTTAAGGAACTTTTGTGCGTGAGGAAGTGCATAACGTAGGCCAACAACGTGAGTCCCTTTTTAACAAAAATTACACTTCTTGTCAAAGATCTAATTACTCCTTCATCTATTTTTACCATAAAATTAGACTTCGTTGACGCATAGAAACTTCTTTTTAATGAAAACCCTTTCCATTCATCATGTTGACTGAAAAATATGAAGTATGGGCACAACCAACTTTTATATCAAAATACTCGTACATCATACAATGTTATTATAAAATAATAAAAAATTGGATGTTTTTCTTCAATAAAGACTTTCAGAGGCTTCATAGGGAGAGAGCCCAAAACCTAAACATTCGCAGTTCAAATTTGGCACAGTTAACGTTTATGCAAATTTCCTTTACGAATCGATTTCCATATAAATACTTACTTTTCGTGGCAAACATTTCATATATATATATATATATATATATATATATTTATATATATATATATATATATATTTTTTTTTTTTTTTTCACTCAGGGAATGCACGCTTTAAGTGCGACATGATGATGGTAAGAAAAAAGTTGGCAAAAAGGGATGCAGAGATAGGGAATGACTGTAGCCTATTGGATGTGTGTCCAACCGGTAACAGTTATAATATTATGTTCATAGAATTTGGTTGAAAAAACCACCTTCACTATACAAATTCTTCGCATTACCATAGTGTGGTCTAGAACCATATCTCTAATGGTCAAAAAACATTTCTCTTTTCAGCTTTTGTCTAAAAATTTTGTATAGTGGAATTTTATTTATATGAAGATTTTTTGGTTTGTCTAAATAACTCTAAATTTGCGACCTGTAGGTTGAACACAAAAATACACATAAACATACACCAAATGAACACTCAGAAAAACGGACAGATAACCTTAACAGAAGTCTTACCTTAATTGTTTTTAGGTACTACGCTTGATATGTAATCGCTTTAGCACAAGTGGTGTAATTTAGAAGTAACAGAAGGTGTTACTGAATAACTTTAGAGTACAATTGAAGTTTGAGTATGCGGAAGTTTTCTTGTTGTTCAGAAATATAAGGCGATCTTAAACAACATTTTCATATTCTCAATAAAACGCTTATAAGGCATCACTCAATAGTTCTTAGGATGACATATAGATGTTGCCACGATTGGCGAAATCATACCAGTCTTCAAATGAAGCGTGTGAATTTTAGTGACGTTACTTCTGTAATTTTTAAAATAATCGAATTCAATGCAAATGAATGTCGTATGTTGATAAAACATTGTTTTTTAATGCGAAAAATACCGTTCAAGCAAAGTAATTCGGACTCTGCTGAATCGAGGTAAATGCCAAGGAAATAGTTTGCGAATTTTAAACGTGGGGGGGGATTAAAACACCTCTCTTTCGATTCGAAGTGATTTACCGCCTTTGCTCACCTGTGTTCAAAACGAACAACGTGTTGATAATGAGAAAGATTTTTTCATATGATTTGTGACAATGGATAGAACACTGATTCATCACAACATTTCAGAGTGAAAAACGCGCTCAGCCGAGTGGACAGCAACAGGCGAAAGGCATCGAAAGCGTTCAAAAACACAAAAGGATAGATCATGACGTCTGTATTGAAGGATGCGTGTGGTATAACATTCAACGATTACCTTGAGAGCGGGGGGACAAAAAGGATTGAAGAAAAAAGTGTTCTCTCACCAAGACATTGCAACGACAATACAAGTCGGCGACAATACTGGCAAAATTGCACGGATTGCCTCTCGAATTGTTTGTTGTTGATTTATTCCCTCCCGGGGCTAGTACCTGTTCGTGATTCTCAAAAACCTGCTCGCCACAAAGATATATGGGTCCAATGAAGGGTGATCGCCTACCGACCTAAAGCTTAGTTTGTAGGATTGAACAACGCTCTCTGCCTATGATAAATGCATAGAAATATTAGAGTAACGTTGATATGATGAATGTGTTATTCTTGACGGAGATTTTAATTAATTAATTAATGAAATTAAATTTGACCTAATGTTTGCTATTTTGTAAGTGATCCTACGACCTTATTAAGCGATATATCTATATGTAATTCTTCTATGAATGCTTCCTCTTTTACAAAAAAAAAAAGAAGCCAGTTAGAGAGAAAACGAAACTAAAGTTCTCAATCTCTATATTCGGAAATTTTCTTAAAAAATTAATTTTGCAAATTGCTTTCTTAACGAAATGAAGGTTTTCCGTACATACATGCATATAATTCCAATTATATCGAGTGACAATTTGTTTGATTGATTGCTTTCGTACTCTTTTCTTTCTTTTACTGCATTTTAAATACGATTGATTATATTCTTCAGCCCCTTAAAAGCAACAGCGAGTTTGCTGATTCCACCTAATTTTAAACTGAAGTATACTACGCGCTGCCATACAGTGATTTACTGATCAGTAAAGTGCAACAACGGCACTTATATAAATTACAAAAAATGTGTTCAACTTGAGAAGGATTCTATTTTTTTCTTCTTCTTCTTCTTCTTCTTTTCCTTTGTTTTTTTTTTTTTTTTTTTTTTTTTTGAATATGTAGAGGAGAAAAAGAAGTTTTAGAAATTAAAAAAGTTTATTTTTCATTTGAATATGACGCTTTCAAGAAACTTTTTTCGTCTGACCATACAGTTAGTTTACTGACATTTAATTTCGATATTCATTTTCTCGACTAACCGAACGAATCCAATTTCACCAATTATGTCAATAGATTTTGCCAAGAATTCAATTAATTCAGTTATTCGTACCATTCGTACTCTAAAAATTTTAACGCACGCACATACACACATTCAAATGTTTTTACATTCACTCTCGGAGATTGTCTATTGGTATCTAGGGTCGAGTTCTAAAGTGATTACCCTCCTCATTTAATACACATATATATTTCTTTTCAAATTCTTTAGCTAGTAAGTTTTATTTATTTATTTATTTATTTTTTTTTTTTTATATACTCGAGTTCGTCTTCTTCTTCTTCTTTTATTTTGATTTTTGATATGGAATTTAATTTGTATATAATTTCTTCTTTTTGAAAATCTTTATAAAAGAAAAACCGTTGTTGTCATCTTTTATGTTTGCCGGTCGAATTCTTTGTGATTCGTACCTCAAGTGCTTGTCCGTTCCTAAGTTTCACAATGTTGCGTTCTCTTCACACAGCACTACCATACAATACAATGAGGTCGTCATATTGTTGTGTTGTATTGTAGTTAAGCAAAATTGTTTATTTTTTCTTATAACATTTTCACCACTTAATTGCTCATAGGGAAGTTTTATATACATATATTTTATATATATATATATATATATATATATATATATATGTACGTCCATGAAACAAAGCTGCTTGAGTTAAATAATGTTGCATATGCCTACTGTCGTGACTTTGTTAACTGCCCCCAACGGGCCGATTGACCCAACTCCATATGGTCGCGCCATAACCGTTACCGTTACTGCTATGTCAACATACTTGTTATAGTTTTTGTGGACGTTCCCACCCAATATGTTTACATATTTGATTTTTACCCCCCTCCCCCCCTTCTTTGAACTAATGTGAAACACCGAGTTTGCTAAAGCAAAGCTCGTATTTACACATTCGTTGTCCGTGTCCATTAAACTATCTTAGCATTGCACAATCTGCTGCCGTGTACGCTATTCACCCCAACACATACATACATATGATATTACCACAAGCTCTCCTCAACTACCTTAAGCTTAAGGACCTACTTCGGTGCATATTGTTTCCACCATCATCCACCATTTTTTAAACTCTTAAATTATGTCTTGTATTTTGTGCACATTCTCGGTACCTGCTTTAACGGAAGTTGCAATTTTTTGTTATCGTGTTTATTGTCGTATCGTTTGTTGCTTCTTGACGTGCACGTGAATGTTGTGTTTAGAGCAAAAAAAAAAAAAAAGGAAAAATAAATAAATATAATAAAAACAAAAAA